TCATAGATGTTTATAGCAATTAAGAGCATTTGAGCAAACTTAATCAATTATTCAACCAAAAAAAAAAAAGCACATGTGCATCCAATAAATGGTGTCAAGTACGAGGGGATCCCGAGCTACTATACCAAAAACAAAAGTACTCCCCCGGTCCAAAATAAGTGATTTTTCGGTTGTTTTCACACATGTTAAGAAATTCAACTTTTAACATTAATTAGCAATAAAATTGACCATATTAACCTTTACTATCTCTTCACATAAACACTCCTAACACATACTCTAATAATTAATTCATTCTTGAAATCTGGAAAAAATCACTTATTTTGGACCACAAAAAAAAAGCCAAATAACACCTATTATGGACTAGAAGGAGTACAAAAGAAACATACAAAAATAATAAATGGAACTGAAACTGAAACTGAAAGTAAGGATATAGTACTAGATGATTTTTATTTAATGCAAAATTCCATTGGCACATCCATATTATGAATTCTCAGAAATCAGAATATTCGCCTGCAGAATATTACCTATAGAATTATTGCTTTTGCCTCGTAATTCTGGTCTCTGGACACGTGCACTCATTTTTACAACAACAATAATGAGACAATAATCAATTACTAATCTTTAGTACCTCTATATACTTGATCAGTGAGTGACATAGGTCAATTCCTTGTATCAATAATGGAGTCCAGACCAAAACCACTGCCCCTTTTTATGCTCTTCTATTGCTTATCATCAGCAATAATAACTGTGCAATCTTCCTTTCCCAAAGAAGCACTGCCAACAAAATCAGGTTACCTCACAGTTAACTCAACAACTGGTTCAGCCATTTTTTACACTTTCTATGAAGCTCAAAAATCCAGCACAAAACTCAATCTTTCTGAAACCCCAATTCTTATTTGGCTCCAAGGTGGTCCTGGTTGCTCTTCTATGCTTGGAAACTTCTATGAACTTGGTCCTTACCGTGTCTCATCTTCTTTCAGGCATAACGTCGAACATCTTTCGCTCGAACCTAATCCTGGTTCTTGGAATCGAATATTTGGGCTCCTTTTTCTTGATAATCCTATTGGAACTGGATTTAGTATTGCTTCAAGTCAAGATGAGATACCAAGAAACTTACATGATGTTGCTAGACACCTTTTTACTGCTACAAGGGAGTTTATTGCATTAGATCCTTTGTTTAAGACGCGTCCGATTTACTTAACTGGTGAAAGTTATGCTGGTAAGTATGTGCCAGCATTTGGGTACTATACGTTGAAAAAGAATGCGGGTTTGCCTAAATCAAGACGGTTGAATTTAGCTGGGATTGCGATTGGGAATGGATTGACTGACCCCGAAACTCAAGTTGGCACTCATGCTCTAAGTGCTTATTATTCCGGATTGATCAATGAGAAGCAAAAGACACAATTGGAATCCCTTCAAAAGGAAGCGATTCGACTTACCAAAAATGGCAATTGGAGCGCAGCAACGAGTGCTAGATCGAGGGTGTTGGGGATGTTGACGAATATGACGGGGCTTGCCACTTTATATGATTTTAGGAGGCTAAAGCCTTATGAAGATGAATTGGTGGCTAAATTTTTAAGCAATGTAGATATCAAGAGGGCTCTAAAAGCAAATGATTCGATAGCTTTCGAAGTATGCAGTGATTCAGTAGGCAAAGCATTGCACGAGGATGTGATGAAAAGCGTGAAGTACATGGTGGAGTTCTTGGTTAAGAATACTAAGGTGTTGTTATACCAGGGACAGTGTGATTTGAGAGATGGAGTGGTGTCGACTGAGGCATGGATGAAGAAGATGAAGTGGGATGGAATTGAAAAGTTTTTGGAGGCGGAGCGGAAGGTTTGGAGAGTGAATGACGGGCTTGCTGGATATGTGCAAAAGTGGGAGAGTTTGAGCCATGTTGTGGTAATGAACGCAGGGCATCTTGTTCCTACCGATCAGGCAGTGAATTCTCAGGTGATGATTGAAGATTGGGTATTGGAAAAGGGATTGTTTGCCACAGGTCAGATTAAGCAAAAGCCAAGCAATATTGGTAAATCACTTTGAGTTCTTTGTGGCATGTGCTGCTCTGTGTTGTAGTTGTACTATGACTTCCTGGAAATTTGAGTTTTATGCTTGTTGTATCAGTTCGTTTCACGAAGTTTGAAATGTTCTAACTAGAAATAAAAGGCAAAACTTTCTGATAATCGAATGCTTGGAGTTCATTTGACCATCACAAATGTCATTGTATGTGTTTAGATAATGAAAGTTTACCTAATCGAAGGAAGCACACTATTTTCCTATGGTTCGGAGAGCAAAACAAAACAACATTGGCCAATAACACCATTAGACCAGTGTATATTTTCTTTGACAATTTCAATAGAAGTAGCTAAAGGTAATGAACTTTGTTCAATCTCCTTCCTCCTGCTCTTTCAAATATAGGATTTTCATTCTTATAAAGATCTGTCATTTACTCAATGGTCGAGGCCTTCATGCTCACTCCACTCAGATATTTCATTGTTGAGTCCATGTGAGTACCAGCAGTCGACCACCTCAAGTTCCCTTTTCTCCTTGCTGTCTCATGCCACAAATGCGTACAGGTTTGAGGTGATAAATGACAAGAGGAAGATCCAGTTAGATTCTTTCCAAGCTAAAGCCATTTCATTGACAAAAGGTGGCAATTGGAGTGAAGCAACAAATGTCAGAATTAAGGTTTTCAACACATCTCGAAACATGACTAGATTGGAAACGTTCTAGTACCCTAAGGCAAAAGCCATTTGCAGTAATACAATAACAACAAACCCAGTGTGCCCCACGAGTGAGGTCTGGGGAGGATAGTGTGTCCGCATACCTTACCCCTACCTTGTGAAGGTAGAGAAGTTGTTTCCGTAGTCACAACATTAATAAAAAGAAATATAATGGATACAGTAATAGAAAAGAAGCAGTAACAAGGAGCCATTTGCAGTAATACATATAAGAAATTATTCACCAAGGGTACCACCGGCTGGATCCAAGAATAGAAACATGGACTTGATGCCCCTGCTGAAGCTATGTGATAACGGTGACTCAAAAGTCAGCACAGAAAAGAAAAGAAAATTCATGATTCACTGTCTCCAGTCTAAGTGAGGTCCTTCTTTTTGACTCACACCAAGTTAGCATGGTTTTTGCTCAAGCGATTTGCTGTTGCTTGTCTGATGTTTTTCTGTATATGAATCCAAATATCTATCTATATCTGTGGGCCATGCTATAGAGGTTTATCCTATTAGCCTAAATTTGGATATCAAAGTACGAACTACACTTAATACATACTGAAAATAGTTGTAAGTAGCTACCTTGCAATGTTAGATTGATGACACAAGTGAGTCATTTCAGATAAAGTTGTTTGAAAATATTATGTTAGTGCATGGTGACATTTACTGGTTGAATTTGTATGTCATTGTGCTAACAGACTGCGTTGTGTAAAATGGTCTTTCTTCAACTTCCCCCCCCCCCCCCCCCTAGCTTCTTCTCTAATAGCATTTTGCGCAATGTTACTCTGCTATAATCGCATTTTGAAAAAGGATTACCTCTTTGAACTTTTTTCTATTTGTCTTGTAGACATGCCTCAAAAGATTCTCGGCAATGAGGAAAAACGTACATGATATGACAGGGGAGAAGACATAGTGACATCGGTTAAGAAATGGGCGGTGGGGGATTAACCCATTCAGCGGAGGAGGGCAGCAGTTTACTTCCACTTTGAAGGAGGATTTCCAGCTGATGGTTTTCCAGGTGGGGGATTTGGCGGACTCCATTTTTGACCTCAATGGTGTTTGTTTTTCATGTTTCCTTACCTCACATGATTGCTGCAAGGGGTGCACAGCACAAAGTACAGTAGGCTCTTATACTCATTTCCAAGATGTTTTGCTTTAGGGATACCTTTTTCCTTTCTTTTATGTATTGAGTAGCAGTAGATCTAAAGGAGAACTGTTCAGATCGATAAACAGGTCCATTTGTAACTTCCTTACTCGAACGGGATGTTATGAGCAGATACTGATGTAGTTACATTAGAAACAGTTATACTGAATCTAGTTACTTTCTTATTTCTGTACTGGCTAATTTGAGATAAAGGTGTAGTTTTAATTGAGTGATATACACTGGTTGAACTACTTTTGGAGTATGTATACCTTTTGTAACTAATGCATGATCATCAATGTTCTTCATTTATGTAATAAGATCACTTAATCTTGTATTTGTCCAGCAATTTTAATGCAGAAAAATGAAAGTCTGAATGTCAGAGCTTGAGATGAATTTAAATGGAAAGACATAGCTCCGTGTAACTAACCTTAACTTGTTTGGAATTGAGATCTCGCTGTAGGAATGATAAGCTTTTGAAAATCTCCTCTTAGCCACTAAATTTTGGTTGTACTATCTTGTCATGCATTGATATTGCAAAATCATACCTAATAACCAACAATTTGACATATAATCTTGTTATGTTGCATTATACATTATCATTAGCTGTACCAATATTTTCTGGATTGTGACCAATGAAGTTGCAAATTGCAACTAAATTAGCCCTCTTGTCCAACCATTCCTATCAATTATAATTGATTATTATTTTCCTGTAACTTTTTAGCCATTTGAGTACATATTCCAACTAAAAAGATTCTAGTTGGGGATTGTACCCCAGCAGCTGCTATAACATCATCAAAAACTTATTATTATCCACTTCTTCACCTTAAATGTAACCTTTCACCAAACATCATCCTCATTTTCATTTCATCCCAATACCCTTTTAATTGAAGGGGAGTCTTGGAGCAACAGTAAAGTTGTCTCTGTATGACATACAGGTCACGGGTTCGAGCCGTGGAATCACTCACTGATGCTTGCATCAGGATACACTGCCTACATCACACCCCTTTGGGTGCGGCCCTTTCCCGGACCCTGCATAAACGCGAGATGCTTCGTGCACCGAGCTGCTCTTTTGCGCAATACCCCACTAACTTTTTTCTATCCTTTTCCCTTTTGTAGTTTCCTTAATTGTTTTACAGCAAGTAATCTACATCCTCATTATTTAAGTGATACAATCTTCTTTTGCCACCACCAGAGCAACTTAAACTTAAGCTAAACCAAACAAGGCAAAATGAAACATGACTTAGTGTCAACCTTTCTCTTCTTGTTGCTCCAATGCATTGGCATTTTGGCTCAAGGTCCAACTCCAGCTCCAATTCCACCACCTACTCGAGCTTCGGCTCCTGCTCCTGGACCACCTGGTCCGACTAATGTGACAAAAATCCTAGAAAAAGCAGGCCAATGTTCGACGTTTATTCGATTGTTACAAACCACTCAAGAAATCAGCCAAATAACCTCATTACTAAACAACTCCAACAGTATCACCATCTTTGTGCCACCAGATAATGCATTTTTGAGCATGAAAGCAGGAACTTTGAATTCGTTTAACGATCAGCAGAAAGCAGAACTGATCAAATTCCACATTCTGCCTCAATACTTCTCCATTTCTCAGTTCCAAACTGCTAGCAATCCTGTACAGACACAAGCCGGTGGAACCAGTAACCGTGAATTCCCTATCAACATAACAACAAATGGCACTTCAGTGAACATAACTACTGGAATTGTCAATGCAAGTATCTCTAGTACAATTTACACTGATAGCCAGTTAGCTATTTATCAAGTGGATAAAGTTCTTCTCCCATTGCAATTCTTTGTTCCTCCAGCACCAGCACCTGCTCCTGCACCACCAAAGCCGAAAAAGAAAGATGATTCGTTGGATTCTGACTCTACTTCTGCTGTATCTTCTGGTGCAATCTCTCTGGTTTCAGACATATTTTGGGCAATCAACTCGAATGGCGGATTTCTCTTCTTCTTGGCTGTGTTTTCTTTTGTATATGTGGGCTCATAATTAAGTTGAAGTTGATATTACTATGCATGCATGCATTGTTGTGATTTCATTTGATTGTAATTTTTGGGTTTCTGCCATTTAACTGTAATGCATGCATTGTTGTAATTTCATTTAATTGTTATTTTGGTTTATGCTGTGTAAATTTGATTTGGTTTTACTACCTGATCTTCTACCTACTTGCTGTGTAAAGTTGTCTCCGTATGACCTATAGTTCACAGGTTCGAGCCGTAGAAGCAGCCACTAATGTTGCATTATGGTAGGCTGGACCCTACGTGAATGCGGGAATGCCTTATGCAGCGAGCTGCCCTTTTTCGCTGTTAAATAGTTTGTAATATACATGAAGTGGGGTTGTCTCGTATCAGAAGACTTTATATATTAAAAGACTCAGTTTTTCAAATTTATTTAAAATTTGAATTTAAATTTCGATGTAAAGTTTTTATTTAAACGAACATGTCTATTCATGAAATTAGATGATTATTCTGAACATTTCCTTCTTTCAACTCTATAAATTCAAGCCTTCACAGAGAAGCGGCTGTGCCCATTTTGCAGTATATAGTGACTGTTGTATTATGCACTGACATCTTAAAAATCTGTACATAATCATGTCAATTATAAGGTCATTATGAATAATCTCTATATATGATAAGTCATTAGTCTGTAACCTGATAAAAACGTTAACTAACATGTTGTAATAGGTCAAACTACAAAGATTTACACTGTCAGTCGATATAACTTAAATCCATAAAAATATATCAGCTTGCCCTGGTTTTTCTAGAAAAAGTCTGCATTTTCAGACACCTTAAGTGCTGATGATGTCGTTAGTAGACCTACTTGATGAGCGAAAACATAATTTCGGATATATATGTATGTGAAAGATCACTAAAATTTTAACCAATAATAAATTCTTAACCTATTATTTAAAAGCGCAATGATTCAATGGTAAGAACATAAAGATTGAATATATTTTAAGGTTAAAATTCTGAATCCACCTCTGAATATAGGTGTGAGATCATCCTGTTAAAACAATCAGAGGCTTATGAAAATCTTCCATTAACTGCTAAATTTTGGTTATAATCTTTGTCACTCATTTACATTGCAAAAATAGTATCTAATAACCAATAAAGTTATTTGCTGGATTACAAGTTGTTATCTTACACAGATCTCATTAGTTGTACCTAGAGTTTTGTTGATTGTGACTGTTGAAATTACATCTTAATCAGCCCCCTGTCCATTATAACCATAAATAATGATTTATGATTGTCCTCTTCTAAATATATTTACATTACATACATGGATTAAGGATTTTCCTTCATAGATTTTCGACAACAAACAACAACGAAAATCCCAATGTAATCTCACAAATAAGATCTGGGAAGGGTAGTAAATACGCAGTCTTACTCCTACCTTGTGCACAGGGGCGTGTGTAGGATTTTTGGTAAGCAGTGTCAAATTTTGAATGAATGAATAAATAAATGAACCGTTCTGATAAAAAGCGATGTCACTTTTTATATTTAACCCAATATTTTCATTTTGTATACTATCTATATATAATGAAAAATCCGACGAAGCGGTGTCACGTGACACCACTTGCCACAAGGTATTTCCGCCTCTGCTTGTGCAAGTAGAGAAACTGTTTCGGACATAGATTTTCCTCAACATCTAGCACAAAACAAAAATTGAATAGTATCCACTCAAAACACAAACTTACTGTAGACATAAAAATAAACTTATCTCTACTATTCTCAGCTGTTTTTCCTCCCATCATAAGCAAACTAACAGCTGCTCTGAGTTTATCAAATACCTATGATGTTCCTTCCCACCTTAAATTACACTCTTTCACCTAACTTTACACTCAATTTGTTTCCACCTCAATACCCCACAAATCCTTTCTTTCATTGTTTTCAAATCAAGAAATCCACCCTCTCAAATATATAAATTCCCACATTTTCCCTCCTCCCTCCACCACACCTAGAAAAATAAACACCATTTACTACAACAACAAAAAAAAAAAAACCAAAGAAAAGAAAAATGAAAAATATGTTATTGTTCTTGTTCTTTTTGTTCTTGCAATGCATTGGCATTTTGGCTCAGGCTCCGGCTCAGGCTCCAGCTCCAGGTCCACCACCTCCATTAAACGTGACAAAGATCCTCGACAAAGCAGGCCAATGTTCAACGTTTATCCGTCTACTACAGAACACACAACAACTCAACGAAATCACCTCACAACTCAACAATTCCAACAATGGAATCACAATGTTTGTCCCCACAGATAATGCATTCTTGAGTATGAAAGCAGGAACTTTAAATTCTTTCACTGATCAACAAAAAGCTGAACTTATCCAATTTCATATTCTTCCTACATACTATTCTTTAACTCAATTCCAAACTGCAAGCAACCCTTTAAGAACACAAGCTGGAGGAACCAGTAACCGCGAATTTCCAATAAATATTACTACAACAGGAAGTTCAGTTAATATAACAACTGGTATTGTTAATGCAAGTGTGTCAAGTACTATATATACTGATAATCAATTAGCTATATATCAAGTTGATCAAGTTCTTCTTCCATTGAAATTCTTTGTACCACCTGCACCAGCTCCTGCTCCGACACCTATAAAGCCGAAAAAGAAAGCCGGGTCCGCGGATTCTTCTACTGAACCGGCTGTTTCCTTTGCTACTTCTCTGGTTCCAAACATGATCTACAAAACCGGTTTTTTGTTCTTCTTCTTTTCTGTTGTGTTTTCTTGGAGTTTATGAGGTTATAAGTCTGTTGTTAGTATCTGTGTGCATGTATGCTTGTGATTCTTTACGTACATTTCATTAATATTGAATTTTGAGTGTTAAGTGGTCTTGTCATTTTTTTCAAGAATTGATCTTGATTAGTATTAGTTGGTACGTACCGTCGGACGCCTCTATAACAGTATCGCTATATAACAATTATTCATTATAAAAACCAAGTTTCTTTTGGAACTAATTTCTATGCTATGTTATAATACATGTTCTATATAATAGCACTTCGCTATAACAATCAAAAAAATTTGGAACAAACGAGGTTGTTATAAAGAGATTTGATTGTATTTGATTTCAAGTGGCAAAGAGAACTGAATTATTTAGAGTAGTGAACAAATTTTAGCAGTAAATTATAAAATATAAAGGTGTACATTTGTAATAAATTCTAAAGTAGCATCAATAAAATTTGAGAACATTTGGATTGAATAGCAACTCATTTGGTTGCAGCCTAAATTTATATTTAAGAAGATAAACTTATAAGTGGGGAGACTTCCATTTGGTTTTCTTTGTTGGAAGTTAGGAATTTTCTTGTTTGTGTAATCGGATTGGATGTAACTTCTATGATCAATTCATTAAGGACAAGTTACACATTTAACCGGTTGACAAAAATAATTATATTTCCTAACCAAATATACAAACAAACAAAAAATACATTGATTGGATACAAAATATGTATATTTTATATCTATTGTACATTTATATAAAAATATTTATTTTGCCAGTTATTATTTATTGGAGGAGATATAATACATAGTTTTCCCATTAATTCAATAATATCATTAATTAATTATGCCTCAAATCCAAATTGGTAAATATAACTATAATCATCTATATCATTCACTTTGTTCAATTTGGATAATATTTATGCCACCATCAAGGATTCCGGTAAGATAAATGGATAGAATTCCTTCACGGATAACCAGAAGTTCTAGGTTCTCGAGCCTTAAAAATAAAAAATATCCTTGTAGAAAGGGCTTGCTCCTTTAACGAGCCTTATGGGGCGTGAAAAAAATAATTTATGCAAATATTGCAGAAATAAAGCCTAATATTTAATTAGTCTTTACTCGGGTGTGGAAACACAACCACAAAGGAAAGTGGGATTGTGAATTAGGCTTTACCAAAAAAAAAAAAAAAAAGGTGAAATACTATTTACACTAATGATGAGACAAAGAAAATCAATCTCCATTGATATTTAGGGAAAAAGATAATTTCAGCTTCCAATTATAGTTGTCCACTCCATTTTTGTGAAAATTAGAGAGAGAGTCATCCTCACGTAAGTCTTATCATATTTGTAGAATATATTACTATTGTTTATTTTGCAACCTCCACCACAAAATATTAAAGTAACCACATATATAGGCTTCCAAAAATTTTCTTTGCTTTTCCACTTCATATTATTATGTCTACTTCTACCTTTTTCTCATTCTACTTTTTCTTCTTTTCAAAGTGAGATACTTTTATCAAGTAGATAGAACAAAAAATGGATGGATTTAAATGGAACGACATAGACATCAAGAATTCTTATAGCCCAATCCCAACTTTTTTTTTGTACATAGAATAAAAAGTAGCACATGGTTTAATTCTTCTACAATCATATTGGCTATACTCTTCATATCATATCAATTATTACTATGTCCTCTTGGATAATGTAAGAATACATAAAGATGGAAATTGGCGGTGCGAATTTAGACACATGCAGGACGGTACGGGTTTAAATATATGCGGGTGTTGCGGTGCGGGCGGGTCAAAATAAAATAAAAAATTAAATCTATATATGCGGGTGCGGGTTTAAAACTTCATCAAAGAAGAAAATTCAATTTTCTAACTTTCTGATGATGAAATTGATTCCACGTACGTAATATATTGAAGCAAAATTAAGTTTCATATTGTTTTAACTATGAACCCAATATTTGCACGTCAAGTTCTTATTCTTTTATGACAAGTTCTGATAATGTAATATCTAACACATAATTATTAATTAATTATAAATCTATTTTATTGATCAAAGTGTTATCCCTTATTTTTCTCAAAATAGACTACTGATTAAAAAAAAAGAAAAATATCTATTAATTGATATTGATAGAGATCTTTTGTATTTCTAATGTAAGCTTGAATAGGGTAAAATTAACATATATACTTTTATCAAATATAAAAAGTTAAAAAACAAAGAGGTATTATGATATCAAAGATTTTTTTAAGTTGCTTTTATTGTATACGTACAAGATTTAGTTTTCGTTAGTATCTTATCTTCTTCTTTCCATAACTGAAGTCCTCCATAATCGTTAGAATTAATAAAAAGCACGAGTATATAGTAAAAGCGTAAAAAAAAAATCCAGCCAAAGGATTAAAAAATTTAAAACTAACAAAATGAAAAAAAATATTTATGCGGAGCGGGTGAACGCTGGTGTGGATGCGGATCAGGTGAACGCGGGTACAACTGCTATGCGGGAGGTTGAAATTTTGCGAGTCAAGAGAAAACTCGCACCACCCCGCACCCCTTGCCATCCCTATGTCAGCCATATTGTCACGCCCCGAACCTGGGCCTGGACGTAACATGGCACTCGGTGCCTGACTACATGTGACCGGGCGAACCAACTGGCTTGCTGAATCAACATGTGATATCATAACATACTAAATGCGGAAGATAAACTAACACATGCTGATATACTGAAAGTCTGGATGATATAAATCAAAGTGCCGAAATACTAATACAATTTCTGAAACATATTTGCAGCCAACATTGCTCAACATGAAAAGTTGTGACTCTGTCTAACTATTACTCTAATCTATGAAGCATCTAATGAAGCACTGAAAACACTGACTGCCTGTAAATACTGAAAGACCGTAAAGTAATGATAATGCCCCGAAAGAACTGGGGATCACCAAACAGCTGGTACGAGAATCCTAGCGCTCTGAATCATCAACCTGTAGATCATTACCTGCATCGTGAGATGCAAGCCCCGGGCAAAAGGGACGTCAGTACATTTCAATTGCATTGGTATGTAAAGCAACTGAAAGAAATAATTATAAAGGCTAATAACTGAGAATTGATAATTGATACTGAAATGATAACTATTAAAATAGAAACTGAAACGATAACTGATAACTGATAGCTGATAACTGAAATGATAACTGATAACTGAAATGATAACTGAACCGATAACTGAAAATTGATAACTAAAATGATAACTGATAACTGGTAACTGAAATGATAACCGATAACTGAAATGATAAAGGAAGTAAGGATATGAATACTCCCTCTTCTGAATGATGAAGTACTTGTTTATCTGAATATTAAACTACGGCCTCGGCCCAATATATATATATATATATATATATATATGTGCACAACTGCGACCTCTGGTCCAAAATGCATAAAGCATAACTGCGGCCTCAGGCCCAAAGATGCATAAAGCATAAATTGCGGCCTCAGGCCCAAAGATGCATAAAGCATAAACTGCAGCCTCATGCCCAAAGATGCATAAAGCATAAACTGCGGCCTCAGGCCCAAATACAGGTGTTCAACATTCCGGAACTGAGAATCGTACTGCAATACATGATAGTGAAATACTGAATTACACTGAGTTACATGATACTGGAATACTGGATCACACTGAGTTACATAATACTGGAATAATGAATAGGACTAGACTGAAACATGTATTCTTGAACTGATTATGAACACTGAAACTTCAACTGTTTATGGCATACTGAGTAATCTATACTAAGACTTGGGGGCATAAAAACCAAGTCTATATTGAATGCGCATTTAGCTCACAACGTTCAGAATGAAAGTGGTGAACAAGTTATGAAGCTAGAGAATAGAAGTTCTGCAACTATTCAAGGAACTAGGCTAAACTATATTTCTGAGGCAATTAGTAACGTCGTAAAAGAAACGTAGTGTAGGGAGAATCATTAAAATTCCCAAACATAGAGAGTTAGCCTCACATACCTTAACTTCCTGCTCTTGAGCGTAATACAACATTCGTCAACCCTTTCAACTTTAATCTATATCAATACAAGTCAAAGGGATTCCATATTAGCAATAATTCTCATGTTTTAGTCGCTTAAGCATTTTCTCAAACACTTGGTGACATAAAGCTTCATAGTCCTTATTAATGGTGTCTCTACACCCAATAACCCATTCTCTTGTTCCTAGATAAATTCTAAAGTCTCAAATGGTTATAATCAACATTATTCTTTATTACCCATAAAGTAAACAACACCCTTAACCAATAATCAACAACCAACACCCCAAACCTATAATCGTTCATGCTCTTCTATCCAACCCATCAACTCATATCTCATGAACTAGGGTTTAAAATCATTAAACCAATGCTAGAATCAATTAGAGGGTGAAGACATTACCTTCTTGACGTTCAATCTTCTTGAATTCGAGTTCTAGGCTTCCTTCTCTCAACAATGATGTCCCAATCGAATATCTAATGATATGGAGGGTTTACCCATGTTAATAAGATGTTGAGAAATTGAAATTAACTTAGAATCACCATTAGAACTTACCTTGGATGGTGAAAGGACCCTTAAGGAGTTAGGTTTTTGAGAGTTCCCCTTTCTAGAGCAAGTTTTTATGTTTTGGAGCCGTGGGGGACGAAGTAGGGCTTTAAAACGACCTCCCACGAGCGCGCCCGCGCACCTGAAGACCTGGTCGCGCTACTGACCGCGCAAAACAGCAGTAACACTGCCTCAAAAGAAGCGCGGTCGCGCTACAGGGCGCGCATATCGCATACTGCTCTGTAAAACGCACATAAATTTTTGCACAAAGATCCTTTCAGGCTCCATAATATATCCCATTGCCTATGGTCTTTGGTAAGTAGTCTATAGTTCACTTTTGTCTATGGCCTGCCCCGCTCTCTTTTCAACTTAGTTATTAGTACTTCGGGTCACATACCTCACGACATAAGATTGAAAGATCCAAACCTTCTTCTTCGGAGCGGAAAGGGGCTCGAACCTACGGGTTCGGTCAAATTACCATTTTTCCCTTGGAAAGATATTCCAAAGGCCTACAACTTTCATGCTTTGAGTTTTCCCAAATCCTTACACATTGTTACTAAACCCTACTGGAAGACAGACCTTCTAC